GACTATATAGGATTAAAAAAAAAAAAAAAAAAGGTTGGGGAGGAGGGGTTAGCAGGAGGAGAGGGCAAGGGGTAGGGGTAGGTGGTAGGACAATTCCTCATCAGCTCAGCTCCCTCATCCAATTTGCTGTGAGACCTCAGTGATTTTTGTGCCATGCAGCAAGGGGGACAGCCACTGCATTTGCCAGCTTCAAACAATACTTCTGCTCGGTGCCCAAGCATGGCCTCACTTAGTACCATGAGAAGCTCTATAGGAAAAGCCAAAACACAAGAAGCCATGGCTACATTTCCACACATACTCCACAAAAGGGTCCTCTATTAAAAACATAGTTCATGTTAAATCTAGCCTAAAACAGTCCCTCAGATTTCACTTTCACTGTTAAGTGTGAAGGACGCTCCCCTCTGCCTATCAGCTGTTGCAACCTTAACCAGCAAAATGCCCAAAGGAACCAGTTCAAGATCACTATTGCTTTTTTTTTTTTTTAATTTTAGAGAGCAGTTGGAAGCAATGTGCTCCAACAGCATTGGGCTACTCAACCCTCTCCAAACTGCCAGTGATGCAGCTCGACAAAAATCACTGCACTAGACTTGTGCATACCACAATACAAAAAAATAAATAAATAAAATATTTCAGCTTCACCTCCAACTTACTTTGAGGAACAACCAAAACATAGAAGAAAGGAAACTACAAAGATCCTTGCCCTCACTCACCTGACATGAGAAAGAAAACTCCACCTCCCCACCCCACCATAAAGCCCTCACAGCTCATAAGCGGACTGTGAGGGAAAGATACCATGAACTTACTTCACCAATTACATCCTGAACTTTCCAGTTGCAATGCCTGCCTGATGTACTCAAGGACACATGAAGGAGTGGGAAGGAGGAGGAAGTCCTGATAAGTGGATTTTAGACAGCACAGCGGTCCTCGAGTTGGGAGACATGGAACGGGGATGAAGCGATGCGTGAAGAGGGGGAAGAACTCCACATACAAAGAAGCTCCTGCTGTGGACAGCAAGTTTTGTACTTCCCCAGGCTAGGAGCCGGCAAAAGGCTCTGCTGGGGGAAGCAGGAAGGACCCTGCACTGGCAGGGAGGAGAAAATGAGACAAAGAACATTAAACCACTGATTTTCAAACAGAACATGAAGACAGACAGGAAATGTACCCTGGACTGGATACCAACAGGTTGCAGAGGAAGGGGGAAGGGGAAAAGGATATGAATGTTTTTGTTGCTGCCAGGAAGACACAAAAAACCCCAAACAATCAGCCACCTATACGCACAGAATAGAAGGTGTCAGCACACCCGCGTCAGATGGCATTTCATAGTGATACTAAGAAAAGACTTTAAATGCTATGCCACACTTACCCTCTTGACTATCATGCATTGTAATGGTTTCACAGTGTACCACTATACCTGAAGCACTTTAAGCTGAAAACCATCCACTTGATTCAAATTAATTTGTCACTAAACCAATTACCTAACTGGAAAGGCTCAGTTTTATTAGGCTGAATGCATAAACTACATTTATGTGAATAATGATTATGGACTAAGACACAGACCATGTCTACCTGCACTTCATACTGGTACTTCCCATTCCTTTTATGCCAAGAATTGTATTTGAAGTAATAACGTCAATGTAATGGCACATTTGCATGAGCCTGGGGCAAATTTAAGCATTTATTTTGTTACCTGAGCATGTGCTATACTGTTAAACAAACTGAAACTCCATTACTGTCACTGACTGTAATCCTGGTATACTTTATCCTTACATGCACTGTAAAATGCTCTATTAAAGTGCTGTGCTAATTTAAGAATTCTATTACTAGAACCCCAGTACATGTGCTTCAAATGTGCTGTAACTAACAGAGTCACTCTCAACTCATATATAGTCTGTATCTCAATCAATATTCTAAATATCTTTTCTCTGTACCTTTCAAACAAAAGATACAAGTTCCACACACAAAAGTTACAAGTTCCAGTGGTGTATCACCAAGTAATCCAGTCAAGTTTCTACTTCACATCCATCCCAATGAAACAAAAAAATATTTTAAAAACTTGAGTTGAAGTTCTAATTGAAGTACAAAATCTAAATCTTGATCCAAACTTCTTTCAACATCGATAATGAACGCAGACATGGCTCCACCTAGGCCTGACCCATTTCCACCAAGCTATTTTAAAAAAAAAAAATAAGTGGCCAACCTACTCGTGAAAAAGAAAAAAAACAAAAGTCCTGTCTATTAAGACTGTATGGTTACACCAGTGCCTGAAAATACAACCCTAACATGAGGCAGGACACAAGCTCTGCAAAGACTAAGACGACATACAGATGCAGCCCCAAGTAGTCAGACTATATGAACAGATTCGTCAAAGTTTTTGGATCAAATCCTGCAACACACACATATCCCACTCCCAAAATCATACACTCCAAACAACATTTCACCATCACAATCAAAACTATTATCTTAACAACTGGCATCTCTGTAGCAACAACTGCAGCAAGAAATACGCTGGGAGCAGGAGGAGTAGCATTAGGTACTGTACTTGTAAACATGCTCGGAAGTAATGCAGCTCAGCAGCACCTAGCCAGCCTCCAGCACAGGGACTCCTGGTGAAGTCTTGCCTGCCCAAACAAAGTCTAAGCACACTCAAAGCCCTGAAGAAGCCACAAGATGAAGCAAAGGGGAAGAAAACCCACAGGCTGCTGTGTACTACTCACACTATGCTCCAATACCAGTATTAAGCTAAAAAAAAAAAAAAAAAAAAAAAAAAAAAAGCAGCGTAGGTGGAGTTTTTCGCTTCCAAGAAGCAGAGAGTGTGTCCGCAGCGCTGAGTCCTTGCCAGTACATTCCGTTTCCCTTTCTGCCACTCTTGGTTTTTGCAGTGCATCATTTCCTGTATTACTTTTGCACAAAGTGGTCTTATCAACTGGAAGTGCAAAATAAAGATTAAACCACAAGTCAGTAGATGACACAGTTCGCATTTTTCTTCCCCAAATACACATGCCCTTTTGGGAAAGTCGGAGTGAGTATTTCCAATAGCTGAGTGACCACCAGCCCTTGAAGGGTATGTTTATTCACAAGGTATGAGTGAAACAGAAACCTAGGCCAAACAACAGGACACTCTCCAAAAGGCAGCCTGGAATCAGTTTAAAGGAAATTGAGTTGCTACCCACTTATCAGCCACTCTTTACACTCCAAAACCCATGCACTTTTTATTATGCGTTCTGCCTGCTGATGGGTGAGTTGGAACCAACAAACTTTTAAATCCCAATGCTGCTTTATTTGTCTTCCTTCACTGCTGCTGTCTTTTGTGTAATCTTTGGACTAACATACAAACCTGCACACAGCTTGTGAGAAGCCTATAAAAAAAAGTGAGCATTATACATATAGCTGTTTAGCCAGCCTTGTATTTAAAGAAACACATTTAGTCAAAATGCCTAAGAGTGAAGTTCTATTTTTCTAGCCCTCAAAGAAGAGATAGTTACTCTGTCAGCAACATTAAGCAGACAGTAAAACATTCAGTGAGGCTGTTTTCAAATTCCCACAAGAGATCCCATAGGAAACTGTCCCACTTTGCATAAATGACTGGTTTTGGTGGGCGGAGAAAGGGTTAGGTCAATTAGATTATCTTCTCCTGGGGGGGTAGGGGGGTGTGCGGGGAGGTGAAACAACTCCTAGCCCAAGTTTCAGGCAAACAAGAAGTGGCTCTAACTCTTCCACTAATTTCATTATTTGTATTACAGGCTGTGATCCAGGCAAAAACAATCCTATTAAATATTTTTAGTATATGCCTGGCACAGTTAGACATAAAAAGGGGCAGGAACCACAATGAAGAGAATCTACATATTTGTTAATGGAGAAAAGCACCTAGTCTTTGACTACATTTTAAAAATTCATTTTATCTTATTTTATTCAACATAACCTCCTCCCAGCACCCATTACTTACTGACAACATAAAAAAAAATACCAAGCAGAGATTTTAATTGCTTCTTTAAAAATATTTAGTAATTTCCCTTCTCTGAAAGACACATCTTTTCAGCAACTATGTACTCAGTACAGTATCTAGACCTTTTTTAAAAAAAAAGAAAAAAGATCAGTTTTCGGCATAGAAGCCAGGGAACTGTCACTTCACTCCTGCAAGAATGATTTCCGTGGATTACTAAAAAGCATGCAGTCTGTAAAGCTAGAATGTGTCACCACAGATTGTGCACTAACTTCCTCTGGCTCTCTGTTCTTGGAGCAAGCAGCAAAAAGTTTCGATTCCTTTCTTCAAGTGATGTGACTTGTAAAAGAAAAAGTCCCAAGTCTTCTGCTGAATTACATTGGTTTTAATGAAAGAGTTCTTTCTTTGCACCTTCTTATGGTAGAAGATCAGATCTTGCTCATCTTGGAAAAACGCATGGAAAGCCAGCAGAAGCCTTAGTGGCATTACAATACACATGCAAAAAGAACTCATGACAGAGACCTTATTCAGAACCTGACTTGGTTTCCCTTATATTTCTGAAATGGGCAAGATG